CTGTTCTAGGCATTGGGGAGACAGCAATAAACACAATGGACCAAATTCTCTCATGGTGCTTTTATTCTGGTCTGTAGCCAATAGTCCAGATAAAAAAGCAAAACCTATAGAATGTGAAGTAATGATAGGTACCAAGGAATAAAATAAGGCAGGGAAGGAGAGAAAAGAGTGCTGGGACTATCCAGAGTGATGATGCTGCAATCTTAGAGTGGCCAGGGAAGACTTATAAAGAGGATGACATATAAGTGAACATCTGAAGGTAGTGAAGAACATATGGGGGCGGGGGTGGGGGGTGGGAGAGAACAACAAGAAGAAAGACCCTGACCTGAAGCATGCTTGGAATGTTTGAGAGGCAGCAGGGAGCCCATGTGGCTGGACTGTGGTAATTGAGGAGAGTAGAGAAAATGAGGTCAGAGAGGAGGTAGCAGAGATTTCTGCAAGGAGCAAAGGAACAGCATGTAGAGCCTTTAGACTATTGTAAGGACTTTCGGTTTTACTATGACTGAGAAGACATGGAAGAGACTGGCTATTTACCAGACTGTTTCCTCTTCCTTCTATGAACATAGCTAGACTACAGTTCTAGTTACAGGATGGGTAACTGAGCCCTGGCCAAAGGAAAAATAGCAGAAACGTCTACTACTTCTAGTACTTGCCTTACAAACTTGCCATGTGCCTTTGTTCAAGATCTTTCTCTTACTGTGGTAGCCCTAGAACCCATGGTACATCACAAGATGGAAGGAGCCCAGGTTCCTGTTAAAAAAACTGTTCACTGAACAGAAACACCTTTTTTGGACTTTTTCTGAGAAATGAATTTCTATTGGCTCTTTAATGCCACTGATATATTGCGATTTATCTCTTTCAGAGCCAGCTTTACCTTAATAAGATGGGAAGACATTGGAAGGTTTTTTTTTTTTTTTCCATTGGAAGGTTTTGAGTGGAAAAGTGACATGATCTAAGATTTTTAAAGGGTTACATGTGACCAAAGAGGGTGAGATCAGAAACCACCCACCCACTTAGGAGGCTTTTGCAACAATCCAGGTGATGACAATCATGATGATGACTTGGTCCAGAGTGGTAGCAGTGTCAGATCCTGCATATATCTTGAAAGTGGTTTAAAAGGATTTCCTGGTGGGTTGGAAATGGGGAAGAGAGAAAGAGAGGAGTCAAGGATGACTCCAAAGTTTTGAGAAAGTAGAAAAATGGAGCTGCCATTTACTTGGATAGAGATGACCTTGGGAGGAGCAGGTCTTGAGGTATAATACTGAAAGGTTAGTTTTGGACGTGTTGAGAGCCTATTAGATATTCAACTAGAAATGTCAAGTAGGCAGTTGGATATGTGTCTATGGAGTTCACAGTGTTCTGGACTAGAGATATAAATGTGAGAGTAATTGGTTTATGTGTGGTATGTAACCATGAGTTTTGATTTGGAGATGGTAGAGAGTATTGATGAGAATGAAAACTGAGAAGAAAAGTCAGTGAAGGAGGAAAGCCAGGAGAGTGTAGTACTCTAGAAGCCAAGCGAAGAAAGCATTTCCAGGAGGAAGGAGTAGTCACATATGTCACGTGCTGGTAACAGTGAGATGAGGAATGATTAGCCATTGGGTTTAGCAATGTGGGGGATCAGCTTTGGTGGGGTGGTGGGTGCCAAAACATACCAGAGGGGTTCAGGAGAGAATAGGAAGCAAGATTGGAAACCTATTCAAGGAGTTTACTTCAAAAGGGTGGAGAAAAGAAAAAAAAAAGGTGGAGAAAATTGGAGCAGAGATATAGCAGGGCCAAGAGAAGTTTTATTTTCTTCTATTTTTAAATGGAAGAAATTGGTTTAGAAGAAATACCAGTGTATTGCTGATGACAGGGGTCTAAGAGTGAGGAAAAAAAATGATGTAGGAAAAAGGGGGAATTTCTGGAGCAATGTCCTTGGGTAGAAGAGATGGGATGGGATCTAGTACAAAAGGGGAAGAGTTGGACTTTGCTTAGAACTGAGACAGTTCTTCCATAGTAGCAAGGAGAGAAGGTAGATCTATGGGTCTCGATTCAGGTAAGTGGTGGACATGGTGGAGAGAGCTTGAAGTTTCCTTTCTGTTGCTGATGTTCTCAGTGAAAAAGGAAGCTGGGTCATCAGCAGGCACTGGGGGTTTGAGGCGAGAGGAGGTGTGAAGCAGCCATTCAGCAGAGAGGACAGATGAGGTGGGCATAGTATGATCTCCAGGCAATATTGAGGACCCTCCTGAGGCTGGAGACTTTGAGATAAGACTGGGAAGTACATCACATGGTTTTCTCCAGGCAAGTTTAGTAGCATGACGCAGGCATTGGAGCTGGTGGAGAGTCGAACTTGGCCAAGTAAATAGAACCAAGTGAAGGAGACACAAAGGTGTTGAAGGTGCATGCGAGAGAATGATAATAATAATAACTGATCCTAGAATGTAGGCTGAAGGGGAGGGAAATGAGGACATGAGGAGAGTGAGGGACAGTGAAAATTCAGCAGGAACAATAGGTTGTGGGATTAGTGGGTGGAAGGATTATTGGGCTCAGGGAAAGACAGGAGGTGGTAGAGCTGGAAAGTGAGAGTCATGGGGTGGGGTGCAGTTATTAACAAACTCCAGGGTAAAATCACAATGGCTGATGAGTATAGTGGGCAGGATTTTGGGGCAGCGGCTCAAAGAATAGCGACCCGGGGTGTGGGAGAGATCATCTAGGTAAATATCGAAATCACCAAGAATCAGGACAAAACTCATCCTTGGGAAAAGTGATGGTGATCCAGGAGCTTACTTTTTAGCCCTCCAACCACTTAAATTAACTCCAGTGAAGGAAAAAAAACCCTCGTAGGATATCTTAAATCAGAGCAGGACATCTAAGAAGGCTTTCCAGGGCAGCCTGGGTGGCTCAGCGGTTTAAGTGCCTGCCTTTGGCCCAGGGCGTGATCCTGGAGACCGAGGATCGAGTCCCATGTCGGGCTCCCTGCCTGCTCCTCCCTCTGCCTGTGTCTCTGCTTCTCTCTCTGTGTGTGTCTATCATGTATAAATAAATAAAACTCTTTCAAAAAAATAAAAAATAAAAAAGCTTTCCAATGAGAAGGTTGGTTGAAATGCTCATAGTCTTTTTTTACTGAATGTGAAATATTATATATTGTAAACAAAGAGGCTAGACACTCCTTTGTGACTCCCTTGATCTATAATCTGTGAACGGCTGATTTTACCTTTACTTTGAGCCTGGAACCTCTGACTTACCTGTTTTGAGACTGTACCTCCTCTCTGTGAAATCTCTGGTTTAATAAGCACTAACAAGTTATGTCAACATTTAAAGGGGGTGTCAATGCGAATTGAGCAAGTGTCAGTAGAACTGAGACAAAAGAGAAAGTTTGACCATAAAAGTCCCCCTACCTCACCCGCCTTGTCTTACACTGCCTCCTGCAGGAACCTTTCTGCTGCCTCAAACCCAATCCTTCATTCCACACACCAGGGTCAGGCTAGCAAGTCCAAGTTAGGGAATGTGCTAAGGAAGAGGGTGCAAAACTTGAAGCAGAAGAGGGGGGAACCTAGGTGGTTCAGTCAGTTGGACATTGCCTTCACCTCGGGTCATGATCTCAGGGTCCTAGGATCATATCAGGGTCCTGGGATGGAGCCCCACATCGGGCTTCCTCTCCCTCTGTTCCTCCCCCTGCTTGTGCTCATGCTCTTTCTCTGTCAAATAAATAAAATCTTTTTTTTCAAATAAATAAAATCTTAAAAAATAAAATAAAATAAAACAAGGGACTAATAACACAAAACTGGCAAAAAAAAAAAAAGAAGAAGAAGCTTCAGGAGAGGCCATGGGGTGGAATTGGTTTTTAGCCTTCTCATAGTTATCCAGAGTACTTGGCACAGAGAAGAAAACACATCTGTTTTGATATATGGCCTTACTTTCAAGTTTTAAATTAGATAAATAGAAGCTTAGGGAGGCATCTGTCAATGGTCTATTTCTTCTCTTGTCCTCCTCAGCTTCTCCTTCAGGGCTGTTCTGTTTTCTTCTGTCACCACCTCTCCGTGAGATCTCCCCTCTTGTCTTACTTCCTCCCTCTACCTCCTCTTCATTCCGCTTTTTCTCTCCCACCTGTCCTCCGGTCCTACGTTCATTTCCTTCCTTCTCTCCATCTCTTGGCCATAGCCCTTCTGAGAGCACATCTTCTCATGCTCACCCTGCGGTGGTAACGGAGGCGAGGTGTGATGGGTGGTGGCGTGGACCTGGAGTTATATGCTGGAATAATGCTTCTTACCCAGAGCCATGCTCCCAAATGGTTTTCCAAGGAAAGGCTATGCTGTCAGCGTGAGATGATTCTGGTTTTTCCTTAGTTGTAGCTTTCTCCTCCTCCACATCCAGAGTCCCTCAGAAAGCTGAATGCTGCAGAGTGGTATTGGTGAGGGCTGCATAGATTATCCCCAGTGCAAAAGGGTGGCTCAAATAGAATTTCCTGTTAGTGTAGGAGAAAAAGGTGTCCCATGAGATATAGCTTGCCTCAAAAGCTCTGGACACATAGACACTTAAGGTAATTTTTTTATTGTCTACTATTAATAACAGGTATTCTGTAAGAGTTGGTAATTTATTATTATTATTTAACTTGAGAAAACACAAACCACTCCTACTTTCTTTAGGGATCTATCTCTGGTCAAACAGAGGCACATATTGGCACTAATGAATGGTTGCCAAATGAATATATGGATGGATGGATGAACCTTTGGAACATGCAAAGATAAGGGCTGGGCTCCAGAGAAGTATCACTTCCACCCCACTCTTTCTGTCCTAGTTCCTTCTCACTCTCTGCAATAGAAGGTTGGGGCTCCCCCAAGAGCTCTGGAAAGGAAAAGGGAGAGCCAGCATTCCACTCCCTCAAAGGAAGAGCCCAGAGGCACTCTGTGGAGTCAGCGCCCCCCATCCCCCCACCAGGGAGAAAGCAGGTCTAGCCACAACAGTGTTGTCCAGGTCTCTGTGGCTTCAGGGCCACTTGCAAGAACTCCCAGGGGCCTCTAGGGAGCTGCCACATTTAGGATTTCACTCAACTCAGCTGGAGGTAGAGAAGAACAGAGCAGGAGCAAAGAGGATTGAGGTGGCTTTGGTAGGCACCCCTTCACTCCCACCCACATCCTCCTGGAATCACCCCCAGGACTAGGACCTGAACCCAGGCCTGAGATGGGACTCCAGGCCTGTCCCAGGAAGGCAATCAGATTATTCCCATCACGATACCTATGAGTGAGGTCAGCTGTGGCCTGGTGGAGGCTGCCAGGGTGCTGAGGAGTGAAAGGGGCTGGGGCCCAGAGGGGTTCTCTCTTTCCCACTCTCCATAAGTGAATGAATCTCTCCAACTGAGGTCACGCGTGCAAGGGATGCTGTCTTCGCTGGGAGTGTCTTTCTCTAGGTCAAAAAGGGAATGCATTTGTTTGTAATTTAATTCACAGGCAGTCTCACAGGTCATAGCCAACACTTATGGGGTGCTTATTATGAGCCAGGCACCATTCCAAACAATCACATGCATGAATACTCTTTTAATCCTCACAATGAGCCCGAGAGGTCAGCCGTTTTACTAGTATTCTGAGACACAGGGAGGTTAAGTCACTTACCCATGGTCACATAATGAGGAGTCAGAGCCAGAATTCAAAGCCAGGCGGCTAGGCAATAGAGCCCATGTTTTAACTATTATATCATTTGAACAAGGCAGTGCCAGTAAAAGAAGAGAAACAACATGGCTTGGAGAGGATCACTGAGTGAATTTCCTGAGATTCAGCTAGCCGAACTGGCAATGGCCTTGAACCCGGATGGCCTTAAGCCAGAGCCCATTCTTGGTCCAGTTGGCTTCAGCTACTCAGAGGGTGGCTTGCAGCCCAACAGCTTTGGCATCACCTGGGAACACATTAGAAATGCACAGTCTTGGATCCATCCAGAACTACTGACTCAGAATGTGCATCCCCCACTGATGGGGGAGTTGAATGGTTCAGCTTCCCCTGAATGGGGAAGTTGAATGGTTCAGATTCCCCTGAATCTTTTCCAAATATAGCTCTTTCTTACTTTTCATCCAGAAGTTCCCAGAGGCTGGGGTACAGCTGTCCTTCCAAAGTCAAAGAAGAAAAGGGTGTTCTGGGATGCCTGGGTGGCTCAGTGGTTGAGCGTCTGCCTTTGGCTCAGGGCGTGATCCCGGGGTCCTGGGATGGAGTCCTGCAGTGAGCTCCCTGCAGGGGGCCTGCTTCTCCCTTTGCCTATGCCTCTGCCTCTTTATGTTTGTCTCTCATGAATAAATAAATAAAATCTTAAAAAAAAAAAAAAAGGAAAGAAAAGGGAGTTCTTTCGGTTCCAAGGAAAGTGAAGGGTTCTGAGGACATACTGGGATAATTCGTTCAATCAGCCTCAGGACAGTTTGGGAGTGGTGGTAGTTTCCATGACACCACATGTCTTGTGACTCTGAAAATCAAGCTGTTCTCCCAAATCCTAGAAATAAGCTTGACATATTCTCTTTGTCTTCTTCAGCATAATTTCATGGGATATGTTTTGAGTATGTGTGTGATTGAATGTATGTGTGAAAACATTAATGAATCATCATTGTATTTAGTGGTCACATGACATGAGAAAGCACTCCTAGGTTTGGAAAAATGTGGGCCAGCTCTACTTACCATTTAGAACAGGGGCTAAATGAACTGGCAGCCTCCAGGCTGAATTTGGCCTGCAGATACGTTTTGTTTGCCCACTAAGTGTCAGCCTAGACTGTGTTTTAGTTTTTATGGGGCAGGGGGGTATGTCACATAAAAATCCAGATTTTTGCCTTTGTTGAAAAATCAGAGTATCTGGCAGCATCAGGCCTGTGTTCCAGCATGGTGACAATTGAAGTCTTCATGGAAACTTTCCATTTTCTTGTTGTGACCGTCCCCACCACTTCCTACTGCCTTTTCAGTGCTGCAACCAAGTGTCAGCCCAGCTATTTTTTAACTTACAATGGAGATGAAAGAAAGGTCAACCTTTCTTATATGATGTCTAGGCTCTCTATCTGTTTATACCACTTGCGAATGTTTGAGTTGTAATCCGTGGTTTGGACGAAAGTTGGCAGAGCTTCTCCAGGATCTACACATTCCCCTAAATTCCTAAATATAACATGATATTCTCATTGCCTTCTGAACCAATAATTTATCAGTAGTGTGATGCACGGATGTTTATTGAATTCCCATTGTGCTCCTAGCCCTGTGCTTGCCACTGCTGATAATTCAGAGGCATGAAAAGAATGAATATTGGTTGAAGACATAAGACTTAAGCCCATGAAACAATTAGGGAATAATTTAAAAGAAGTTATGACCAAGGAAAGATTCATCTAGAAGGATGGGTAGGATTTAGGGTGGAGCATCAAGGGGAAGGGAGCAGATGGGATGAATAAGGCATGGGGAAGAAGAGCTAAGGTTGACCAGAGCAGTTTAGGCCTGCAGAAGAGGAGGCACAGGGCTTCTGCTTGAGGGTGAGATGGTAAGAGGGTCATGCATGCCGAAATGAGTAGATTTGGGGTAAACTAGAACCTGTCAATAAATGGGGAACTGGCTGCTGTGTCCAGAATATGTCATGCTCCCTCATACAGATCCCCTCTGCCTCCTGTGTTTCGGCCAGCCTTGCCTGTGCTCCCCCTCTATGACTTGACTCAGATGCCCGGCCTTCCCCAACAGCCTCCTGGGAGTGGGGATGGGCCTCTGTCTTTGTGCTCCTGAGGCATCCCAGGCACGAATTTTGAATGTTGCCTAGAAAGAGAGGTTTTGTGATTTTAGGATCTACCCATCTGACTCCACCAAATTATAAACCCTTTCAAAGGGTTCATACAATGTCTTTCTTTCATTGTGACTCCAAAGCCTTCAACCGTGTTGGACACTTACCAAGGGCTCACTGCATGTTTTTGAATGAGTAAATGAAGAATGAACTAGTGGAAGAGTATTGGAGCAGGCCGGGCATGCGGCAGTAAGGTGGACTAGGGTAGAATCTGTGGGAGTAGAACTGAGGAAAAATATAAGAAATATTTCAAAGAAAGAAATTGGTAAGATATTTGCTGCCAAATTGACTATGGTGGCCAAAGAGCCTAGAGGCCTGGAAACCAAGGCCTGGAAAGACAACAGAGATCCAGGAAAGCTGGGCTGGGGAGCTGGAGGGGGACATATTCCTACACTGTGGTGCAGAAAGTTCTCCGAGAAACGGGTGCCCTGTGCCCTCTATTACCTGAGCTGTCCCATTTGGTCTGTGTCTTTTTGCTGCTCCTGGAGCTCCAGCCATTTCAGGATCAAGGAAACGAAGGTCGAAAGGAAAAGAACAGAGCATGAAACTCTCATTTCAAGTCTTGTTTCTAGTTATATTTTTCTCAATGCAAACACTTTAGAGGCAGATATAAATATGAAAAAGGCCAGCTGTGGCTATACTGGGTGGGTGTGACACATATTAAAGTACCAGAAGAAAAAAATAGGGAAGGGGGAAGGGAGGTGGGGAGAGCAGAGCCCATGCTGCTGTTTTTGCTGAGGAGGAGTGGGTGTGACTCCATCTGTTTGGTCCTTTGTCTCAGCCTTTTATTTTATTTGCTGTAAGTTGCTTGTTGTTGCTAATGTGCAAAAAAATGGATATAACTGCAACCAGAACCAGACTAGAACCTGCCTGAATGAAGAGAAACACCATCACTCAGGGCTTCGTTCTGGGAAATTAAAGAGAAGAAACCAAAGTCCATACAAAGCAATTACTGAGATAACAGTGAAGCAGAAATTCACTTCCTCCGATTTCTCACAACCCTCTGATCCATTTGGGACATGACAGCCCAGACTCGGTGGCCCTAGATTGCTGACTGGTCTCTCCATTCTCCATGCCTATACTCCCTTTCTCTTCAAATCAACTGTCACTGCAACAGAGGGGGTGGGGTGGGGTGGGAGGGGCGTGGGGGTGGCACGGGACCTTTCCAAAAAGTAGATTGGATCGTGTCACTTCTCAGTTTAAAATGAGGCTAAGGCTCCTGCGACACTAAAGTCTGAATTCATTCCCATGGCTCCCTGGACCCTGGCACAGCCCTCGGCCCCTGCCCACTTCAACTTCTGTCCATTTGTCCATCACCATCACTTCCCCATTGGCCTTCCCTCCTTCTTTCTAAAGTCACCAAATCTTTTCCTCAGGATGCGGTCTCATCTGGTCCCTCAACCTGTACAGCCTTCTCTACCCTTCATCTATTTAGTGGCTATTTTCCCTTCTGGTCTTAGCCTCCTCTGACCTTCCAGAAATATTATAAACTGTCTGTGCCAGATATTGCCAACGGGTCCCCAACATCCCTTCTTCCCTCTTTCCTTGGGAACAGAGGTCTAATTTTGTGTTGGGCCCATGGCCATGCACAATGATGAGTGTATTTCCCAGCTCCCTTGTAGCTGGGTGTGGCCATGTGACTGAATTTTGGCCATTGACATAAACAGAAGTTATCCTTCAAACAGTAATAATATTTTTTAAAAAAATCCATGATTTAACATTTTGAGACAGTCAAGAAGTTGCTTCACTATATCTTGCTCTATTAGAGTCCAGGGGTCTCCAGCTCCGCAATGTGACATCTTACCTAGAAATTTCTTAACTACAGATCTCTGTGAGTAAGGTTCTGATATACAGAGTGACAATCTCCAGTATAAATTCTCAGGCAGTGGGCAACTGAGTCTTTTTCTTGTGTTAATACTTTTCTACTTCCAGCCCACGTTTGAGTTAATAAGATAAGTTAATACTTATTGAGGCTTTCCTTATGTCTGCCTCTAAATCTGCTGAGAAGCATGCCAAGTAGTGATATGTATGAGGTCATTTACTCTTACAATATCTGGGTGAGGTTGGCATTACCATAATTTCCATTTTGCCCATCTGAAAATGTAGGACTAGAAAAAAATGAAGCAATGTGCCTTAGGGCTCATAGAGCAGTGACCAGGACTGTGTGAGCTCTTAACCACTCTAAGAGACGACCCCCTCCAACTCTACTTTTTGTCTTTCTTTTCTTTCTTTCCTTTCTTTCTTCTTTCTTTTCTTTCTTTCCTTTCTTTCTTTCCTTTCTTTCTTTTCTTCTTTCTTTTCTTTCTTTCTTTTCTTTCTTTCTTTCTTTCTTTTTTGTTTTTTCTTTGCATTTCTGGTCCCTGTTGTGTTCTCAATGCCTGTCTCATACTGTCTGACTTAAGACTCAACCCTAGGTCACCTACACATCTAGGGACATTTCCTCAGGCATGGAGAAAATGGGACTGTACAATGGAGCTTTCCAGAACATGTTACACGTTTAGAAAGCAACCACAGAAGCTCCGTAAAGTCCAAGCAGAGGCCAGGCGAGTAGGTAAATGAACTCAATCAGTAGACAATATTTTAGTTGTTTCTCTGTAAGGACTAGGAACTGGACTAGAAATTAGGTTTTACTTTCCCACCTGTGCCACTAATTTATTCTTATTATTGAAGAGTTACTTTTTATTTTTTATTACATTCCTCCTCTGGAGTCAAGTCTACATGCTTGCTGTGTGGAGGAGAATAAGGCAAAGAGAATGAGGGAAAAGTTTACTCTGAATCAAAGAAAAAAAAAAAAAACGTGGATACTGAGTGTCAGCATTTCATGCTCCTCCCTCTGCTCCTTTTACAAGTGACTAGGTTTCTGGATTGTATGGCCCAGACCATCTGGGCTGCAGAAGGGACGGCAGGCTGGCCTGATTTAAGGCATGTATGTACCTGAACTCATCGTGCTGGTGCAAGTCGGCAAAAATCTGAGAGAGTGCCTCACTCTCCCCCTTGGCCATCAGCTGCATGAGGCTCTCACTGGGCTGGGAGGCTTGGGGTTTCTTCTGTACTAACTAGATGGAGAGAAAAAGCAAAGCCAGGTGGTTAAGGACTCAGGGTCTCTGCATTTTCCTAATCATGGTCCCGACCTGAAAGTGCTGGAACTTGGAACTATTCCTCTGGGCTGCCATGTCAGCTGCTCAGAGAGGCCATTCTGGGGCCATTTCTGTTTGTTTATATCTCCTGTATTGTTACAAATATCCTTTGGTGCCTCAAGGTGTCATTGAAAACTTTAGACATAATTTAGTAGATAATCTATTCTTATTAACATACCTTCATACTTTCCTGAGTAGTCTATTCATAAAACTTTAATAAGGTTTTTGCTACTTGGTTTTATATTTAAATGTAAGGGGATCAAATATCTATTGTAGGAACTTAATGGATGCTTAAAAAAGTAATTTCTCTAAGAAAATCCTACATTGAGCTGCTTTTTACACCTGGGTAAAATTGCTTTCTTTCCTGTTGCCTGTGATACCCCCATAAGTACTCCAGCTGCTAATTCATTCATTTGATCATTCATTCAATATTTATTGAATGTCAACTATGTGCCAGGCACTAGGGATGTAGCAGCTAAGAAGACAGGGAAAACCCACTGCCTTTATGGAGTTTACATTGCAGCTCAAATTGGTCTTAGGGCTTGGGGCAAAAGTGCCCAGGTGGTTCTATTGGTAAATTCTACCAAATATTTAAAGAAATGGTAATACCAATTCTTCAAAAATTCAGAAAACAGAGGAGAGAACACTTCCCAAATCAGTCAATGAGGCTAATACTACTCTGAGACCAAAGCGAGGGTATCACAAAGATTTCTCAGGAAAACTACAGACTAATATCACTGATGAACATAGAAGCAAAAAATCCTTAACAAAATGCTAACACACTGAACCCAGCAACATATAGAAAGAAAGAATCACATATACCATGACCAGGTGGAATTTTTACTGCAGAAACACAAGGTTGTTTTAACATCTAAAACTCAATTAATGCAAGACACTATATTAATAAAGGACAAACCACATGATCATCTAAATAGGTGCAGAAAAAAATATTTGACATAATCCAATACCCAGTCATGATAAAAACTCTGAATAAACAAAGAATAGAAGGCAACATCCTCAACCTGATAAAGGACATCTACAAAAATCTCTCGGTTACATCATATTTAATGAAAGACTGAATGTATTTTTCCTAAGATTGGAAACAAGGTGAGGATATCTGCTTTTGCCACTTCTAATAAATATAGTATGGTGCTAAAGGTTCTGGTTAAGGCAATAGACAATAAACAAACAAAGAGATCCTGACTGGAAATGAAGTAAAATTGTCTTTATTTGCAGATGATATTTACATACATATATATGTAGAAAATCCCAAGGAATTTGCAAGAACTACTGTAATGAACAGGGTTATATACAAAAATCAATTGTGTATCTATATACCATCAATGAGTGATGCAAACATGAAGTTAAGAAAACATAATTCAGTTCACAATAGTATCGACAATAATAAAATACTTAGGAATAAGCTTAATAAAAGAAATTCAGAACATGTTTACTGAAATGTACAAAAATATTATTAAGATAAATGAAAGATCAAAATAGATGGAAAGATAATCTCATTTTCATGTACTGGAAGACTCAGTACTGTTAGGATGGCAATTCTCTCCAAATTAATGTGTGAATTCAACAGATTCTTGTCAAAATTCCAGCAGGCTATTTTGTAGAAATTGACAAGCTGATTCTGAAATTGGTATGGAAATGCAAAGGATCTAGAATAGTCAAAATAATTTGAAAAAGGATCAAACTGGAAAATGCACATCACCCAATTTCAAAACATAGTATAAGACTATACTAATCAAGACAATGTGATATTGGCACAAGAATAAGCAAGAGATCAATGGAACTCTCGATTGAGAATCCAGAGATAAATCCTTAATTTATGGTCAATTTAGTTTTGACAAAGATGCCGGGACAATTTATTGGAGAAAGAATAGTCTTTTCAACAAATGGAAAATCCTTTATTATATATAGGACAATTGTATATCCACATGTAAAAAAAAAGTACTTAAACTCTTACTTCCCATCATATACAAGTAGTAACTCAAAATAGATTATAGACCTAAATATAAGAGCTAAATCTATAAAACTTCTATAAGAAAACATAGGATAAAATCTTTGTGACTTCCAGTTGAACAAAAGTCTTAGCTACAACCCCAAAAGCCTGATCCAAAGAAGAAAAGAAAAAAATCGATAAAGTGAACTTCATCAAACTTAAAAACTTGCTACCCAAAAACACCATTAAGAAAATGAAAAGGAAACTTACAGACTGGTAGAAAATATTTGCAAAACATATATCTGATAAAGGATGTGTATCTAGAATATACAAAGAACTTTCACAATTCAATAAAAAGACAAAACTCAATTTATTTTTTTTGAAACTCAATTTAAAAGTAGGCAAAGAGTTGAATAGATATTTCACCAAAGAAGATATATAAGTGACTAGTAAGCCCATGAAAACTTTCTCAACATCATTAGATATTCAGGAAACAAAAATTAAATCCACTATGCATCCATTAGAATGGCTTTACTAAAAACCATAAATAATACCAGTGTTGGTAAGGATATGGAGAAAGTGAAACCCTCATGTACTGCTGACAGGAATGTAAAATGGTGTAGCCACTTTGGAAAATGCTTTGTCAGTTTCTTTAAAAGTTAAATCTAGGAGTGCCTAGAAGCACCTGCCTTCAGCTCCGGTCATGATCCCAGAGTCTTGGGATTGAGTCCCGTGTCAGGCTCCCTGCTAAGCAGGAAGTCTGCTTCTCCCTCTCTCTCTCTCTGCCCTTCCCCTCTGCCCATGCTCCCTTTCTCCCTCTCACTCTCTCAAAATAAATAAAATCCTTAAAAGTTAAATCTAAACTTACTCTATGACCCAGCTATTGCATTTTTTGGAGTCTACCCAAGACAAATGAAACATATGTCTGCACAAAAACTTGTACACAAATGTTCATACCAGCATTATTCATAATAGTCAAAAACTGGAAACAATCCAAATGTTCACCAATGGACAAACAAAATGTGGTATATCTATACAATGGAATGCTATTCAGTAATTTTCAAAAAAGATTTTATTTATTTATTCATGAGAGACACAGCAAGAGAGAGAGGCAGAGAGAGAAGCAGGCTCCCTGCAGGCAGCCTGGTGTGAGACTCAATCCCAGGACGCCGGGATCATGACCTGAGCCACCCAGGCACCCCTGTCACTCAGCAATATGGAGAGTTTGTGACTCTGCCACGGAGTTGACCTCATGCTACAATATGGGTGAGCCTGAAAAACATTATGCTAACTGAAAGAAGCCAGGCACAGAAGGCTATATATTGTAGGATTTAATTTATATGAAATGTCTAAGAAATATGAATTTATAGAGACTGAACATATATCAATGGCTGCCAAGGGCAGAGAAATAGGAACAATTGAATGACTGCAAATGGGCACAGGGGAATTTGTAGGGTGACAGAAGTGTTCTAAAACTGGTTTGTGGTGATGGTTGGACAATTCTCCGTGGTTACTGAGAATGTTGAACTGTGCTCTTCAAAGGGTTGGGTTTTATGGTTGTAAATTATACCTCAATAAAGCTGATTAGCAAAGGCCTAAGGCAGGGATCACCTTCCCAGGTTGCTCGCATACCAGCTCACCTAAACTCCATAGTTCAGCTCTGGACTTTACTGGAGGTGGCAATGGTGCCCACTTACGTTAGAGTCTCCCGAGGGGCTGCAGCTCTTCTTGGGTACCAGACAGTGAGTGACAAGAATCCTAGGGTCTTTGGTGGTGATAGACAGGCCCTTATGCAGAATTTGAACCAGTCGGATCCAGAAGTGGAAGACAGTTTCAGGATGGTCAGGGTGGAGCCTGAGATAGTAGATCTTCTCAGTGACTGTCCTCAACCGCAGGATGCGCTGAAGCTGGTCGTAGACTTGGAGCTCCACAAACTTCAATGGGAGAATCCTGGAGCCACAAGGGAGGACACAAGGCGGCAACCCTATCGCTTCTGATTTAACCCTGTCTTTGTTAAAATGAGAAAGGTCTTCTACAGGGCTGAGGCTTTTGGAGTAGGAGAGAGAATGCTTAGCACAGTGATACTCAAACTTTGGGGAGACCAGATTCACCTGGGGGCACCTGGGTGGGTCAGTCAGTTAAGCATCTGCCTTCAGCTCAGGTGATCATCTCAGGGTCCTGGGCTCAAGCCCAACATTGGCCTCCCTTCTCAGCGGGGAGTCTGCTTCTCCCTCTCCCTCTACTCCCTGCTCTCTCTCTCTCACTCTATATTAAATAAATAAAAATCTTTTTAAAAACCCTATTAAAATAAATACATAAATAAAGTGCAGACACCTGAAGATATCCCCTACAACTCAGATTCAGTAGGTCTGGGGGCTTGCCCTGACATCTGCCATGATTCTCATGTTGGTGCTCCCTGGGATCCTGTTTGAGAGAGGTAGCCCTAGAGTAAGGTGCCTGGGGTCAATTTTCTTCTTGATAGCATAAAGGGAACTGCCCTTCCCAGCCACAGAGTGGCATTGTCCAGCCTGTCCATTTGTTGACCCTAATGCTTTACTCTTTGAAAAGAGGCTAAAGTTCAAGAATTTGAGCTGTACTTCCCAGCCAACATGGAGAAATGAAGCGTTTCCCTGGATTTCTGGGACTCTCTAGAGATTCTTGAGATATCCTACAGATTACTTGAAGAAGCTCAAATATCCAAAAGAACCCTTTCATCCCAGAGAGGTCTGATGTCATTGTATGTCACAGTTCTGAGATGCAGTTCCACTCATTCTACCAGTAGGAAAACTGAGATGAGGCAAATAACTTGAGACTAAAAACTTTTTGGAGTCATTGGGATACCAGAGACTAGAACCTATGTCTCCCACCAGTGCTCCATTTGCCAGACCTCATTGCTTCCTTGCCCCTCGGCCCAAGTCGGAGAGATGTTCTATGTTCAATGGGGTGAGTGCAGCAAGAAGGGGCGTGTTGACTAGCTTCACACTGTGGACCACATAACTCTTCCCTTGGCCCTTCCCCACCCTGGCCTTGATGCTTCTGGTGCACCTTGTCTTGGGCTACTGTTGTCTAAAAAAATAATGTCTCTGCCAGTGACTTCTCTGCTTCTCACTACTTGGAGTTTAGTCACAAAGCAGCCTCTGCTTTGGGTCCACCCTTCATGCTACTCGTCCTCTGTTCCCATCTGCAATACTTACCTCTTCAGCTTGATGTTTGGGGCTGTAGATGGTCTGTTCCATGTCTGGCTCTGTCCCTGGTGCCATTTGACACTAGCCATGAGGAGGATATTGGGAAGGGGCAGGCAGGGCACAGAGGAGGTTACCCCAAGGGCCATGGTGTTGGAGGCTTTGTAGATGTCTATCCAGCTCCTGCCCTTTCTGACCTGCAAAGCAGCCCCACGGACACAGCCTGAGCATTTGGCAGAAGCAGCAGTGTATTCTAGCAGAGGGTTTCTCAACCTCAGGCCTATTCACCTTTGGGGCTGGGTAATTCTTTGTTTGAGGGAGGGAGCTCTCCCATGCATTGCCCAATTGTTAGCAGCAGCCTCGGTCTCTACCCACAAGACACTAGTAGCAATCCCTTCCCCCGCAGAGTTGTGGCCATCAAAAATATCTCCATTTGAGAAAAAAAAAAAAAAAATATATATATATATATATATATCCATCTGGGATTGCCAAATGCCCCCTGGCGGCGGTGGGCAAAATCAACGCTTGTTGAGAAGCACTGTTGAAACCTGTATTGGTTAAATACCTGTAACGTATTTATACTACCTCCTCTTAACAATTCCTCTCAAGAACCATAACCCAGGAGTTCCCTGACCTGTGTCACATTCCTGTGGCTCCTCCCCACACTGTTTCCTGGCTTTTCTTGGAAAAACTTGTCCTTAAGGTCATTCTTTGAGGGGCCCAATTATCTCCTGCACTTTCGCTGCACTGTAAGATCCCTTGCAACTCCCAAGGTCTGTTTATTTGGGGTTCCCCCAACCCCAGCCCCAGGAAAAGAAGTGCAGGCAAGGAAACAAAGATACGCTAAGGGGCCCAGGGTGGCACAGGTGGTTAAGTGGCTGACTCTTGATATGTCGGCTCAGGTCGTGATCTCAGGGTCCTAGAATTGAGCCCGGGGATGGGCTCATGCTCAGCAGGGAGTCTGCTTGACATTCTGTCTCCCTCTCTCTCTGCCCCTCCCTCTGTGCTGTCCCTGTGTGCGAGCATGCTCTCTCTCTCTAATAAATAAATATTTTTTATTAAAAAATCTTTTTTATTGCATCATTAAAAAATGCAAGAAGTGCCCATTGTACTTAGGCCTTTGCCTCCCATGTTTGCCTGTAACAACCAGGCCCAACTCCTTTTATAATAGAAGAAACTGGGATTTGGGGCACTCAGGTCACTTGCACAATGACACCTCCTGATAAGAAAGCAGAGACTCTTGAGCCTGGGGCCCTTTTGGTACCCAGCTCCTCTTTTACCAATCAGCATTTCTGTTACAAGCCCTCAAAGGGCAACCCATTTCACTGCCTCTTTGTTCATCTCTTTGGGCTGACAGCCTGGAGGAGGAAACAAATTGAGGGATTCAGAGACCAAATCTACTGAGAGCAGAAAACCCCTGACCTCTGTCCCCATGATGACAAATGCCTGCAGAAGAAGCCCTGTCTGAGGCTCTGCAAAGTCAGGGTCAGATGCATTTCAGGCCCACTGACTCCTCCTTGCCTCAGTTCTCACTCCACTCCAGTCCCAGGGGCAGATGCTCCCAGTCACATCTTGGGAACAGGGTTAGGAGAATCAAGGAATGCCATTCTGAGCCACCCAAGTGTACCTGGACAAAGTTGCTTTCAAATACCACTGAGTCAGGAAATAGGTTGAATTCTGGAGAATGAAGCATCTGGCAGAGCAGTCCCTCCTCTACACCCAGGCCCACTCCAGGGTTTGGCTCCCCATCCACAGGCAAGAGGCCCCTGACTTCTTCCCAGGCATTTAGGGGAGGGAAGGTTGGAAAAGATCTTGTGACTTTTACTGTCTTCTTTGATTTCCACCGAGTCTTTCTCTGTGGAACCGACGACAACATTTCTGCACATGCTCAGGGGCCTGCTGCAAGTTTGTCCTGGTATCTCTCTCTTCCCTCGTGGCCTTGGGCAGCTGGCCAAGGCCTGGGACCGCCAATCAGCTCACAATGATGAATGGATGACATCATGAAAAAAGCAGGGCAGGCCTGCAGGAAAGGGAAATGCAGAGGAGCCTCCCTTTTCCTCCAGAGTGCTTTTAGGGCTTGTTTATGCCCTGATGGTCCCCAGGCCCTGTCAGAACTCCGGGACTCGGTGCCCCCAGAGCTTGCTGAGAAAGTGGTGAGCCAGGCAGAAAACAAGGAAGGAAGGTTTCTGGGAGGCGATCTTCCTCCCTGCCTTTCAACCTTCCCTTACTTTTAGTGCAACCTACCTCAAACAGTTTGAAGGGCTGTTCTCTATTTAAAACCCAGCCCTACTGAGACTTGCATGATATGGGAACACGCGTGACCTGGTTTATCTGCAGGACGCTTTTCTGTTTTGGAAGAAATTGCTGGGCCCTGCTCCGTGCTCTGTGCTCTGCTATGCCTGGGTGGTTACTCCTGCAGGCCTATTTCCCTTAGCAGGTCAAACTGAAGGAGGAGTACAAGTAATTAGTTTCTTACCCAGAGGCTGGCTTTTGAGGGTGCCAGCTGAGAGGAATAGAACTGGGATGGGCAGTTCTGCTACATCAACAAGATATTCTCCCTCTCAGAGAGTGACAGCATTCCTCATTCTGGAGTCAGAAGAAGCAAGACCCCAAATCCTGCTGTGGCTAGGTCAGGGGCAAAGAACAAAGCAGGCTGACCACCGCTCAAGTCCCCTTTTTGGGGAAATTGTAATTCTAATTTGAACAAAATTCTGGAATTTACCAAATGATGTATTATCCATCAAAATCAAATGTGATCTCTTTGGAAAAGTGAGTTGACAACTCATATATGCAATGTACAAGCATGAAGATATATTTTTGTATTTCATTATCAAGTCAGAGAGGCAGCTGAAAGGTCACAAGACTCTTCTGATCCGATTCCATCTGCTCCTCACCTGGTTACTTCTAGTTTGCCCCTGGTCAAGTACCTGAAACTGCTTCCTGGTTGGCAAAGCAACTTCTGCATTCCTGTTCCTCATTTTCTTCTGTTTATCATGTGGGACAAATGTCTTCCATGGAATACTCTCTAAGGCTAGGGTCAAGAGACCACATTCTCAGATTTACATTTCTCTAGAAACAACACACAGTACAAACAAGATGGCAGTTAACACGCTGGTATAAGTTAAGCTTGTCTACCACAGTCAAACTTATTGGTCTGGGAATATGGTTTGGATGTATTTGGCCACTGAGATATCCAAAGGTCTCCTTTAGTGGGGAAGATGACTTTTTCTGTTTTCTGTACTCTCCTGCTGTTCAGCCCACTTCTGTGGTATGTGAAAGAGGCTTTAGTGCCTGGTTTAGAAAGCTAATTGTGAGGAAGTGAGCTTTCAGCTCTAAGCAAAATGCCAAGCAATAATCAAATGTCTTCAAGATGCCTACCCTTCCTACTTGCCCCCAATCAAACCTCAAAAACTAGCACACTTAATATTTTTTAAAACCACTTGATGGATACTTGCCTTTCTCAATATCCATTCTCTCCATTTCTTTATTAATGGAATGCCTGATTTTTAGTTGGGCACAAGTTTCTGGAATCAAAATTACATTTCCTGGCCTCCCTTACAGCTAGATAAGGCCATGTGACAGAGATGTAAGCCCAACGTGCAAAGTGCTGAGGAAACATTGTGGGAAGGGGCATACTTTTTTCACTCCTTATTTTTTTCCTTCTGACTGGAATAGAGACTTGACAGTTGGAGCCTGAGCAGTCCCATTGGGCCATGAAGTGGCATTCTACGGGTGGTAGCATAGCAAGATAAAAGGGCTCCAGCTCCTTGATGATCATAAAACTGTCATACTAGTCCTACGTGGACTATGTACATACAGACTTCCTGTATGTATGAAAGAAATAAATTTGAGTTTTCTGTTATATTGAATCAGACTTAAAACTTGCTAATACAACTATATAAAACTGTCTATTCTTCCAGACTGATTTTACAGGATATAATGAGGCTATTTACCAATAATTCTAAGCAATGAAGAAAATAAGGTTAATTTATAGGTAGTTAGGACCTTAAGACTGACAAACTTGTGACTTCTGGGGAGGAAAGTTGTGTAAATATATGTCCCCATAATATGAGAAACTCGTTGCAACTTTTATCATTCTGTGCATGCAGAGATGTTGATGCTGCTACAATTATTGCTTTGGGCACATTTGGCAATCACTCCAGTGATGGTCTGTGGTTTGAGGCTAAAATCACTCAGTACAGTGTCAAATATCATTTCAAAGCTTGCTCAGGAATGGCCAAGTATCTGATTGTCAGTTGGGGCTGGACCTGGGTCCTGTGGAGCTTAAAGTTTATACAACTTTGGAGATACTTAAAAATACTGGAGGGATGGGGCAATAGGAAGTTATTGTTTGATGGGTACAGTTTTAGTTCAGGAAGATGACAAAGTTCTGAAGATGGACGTTGGTGATGGCTGCACAGCAATGTGAGTGTACATTATTCCACTAAACTGTACACTTAAAATGGTAAATTTTATGTATATTTTACTACAGTAAAAGATTTCTAAAACATAAAAAATAAAATAAAAAATCCCACAAAAGTATGATACAAAATTGTTAGAAGCCCTCATCGGGGCTTGGAAGTTTCCATGTGAACAAAGGTCCCTAAAGTATAAGCTTTATTATATTCATGGTAAATCTGTCCCATTTAAATCTGTGTCACTACTTAAAAAAAAAACTATTACGTAAGCAGTACATGTGCTTGTAGAACATCAGAAAATAGAGACAAGTTTAAAAAACAAGCAGCATATTCTTACCTCCAACATCACTGCAACAACCATGGGTATGGGTATGTGTGTGTGTGTGTGTGCGTGTGTGTGTGTGTGTTTGTGAGAGAGAGAGAGAGAGAGAGATACTATTCTAAAAATTGTTTATAACTTTTTTATAACATAAATGATTTAGTCAACACTTTCTACCTTTGTACTTTGGTATACTTTTATCTCATCTCATCTAATTTCTGAGGCATATCAAAATTTCAATTAACTCCAATTATTCTTTTTTAAAAATTTATTTATTTATATATATATATTTATTTATTTATGATAGTCACAGAGAGAGAGACAGAGAGAGGCAGAGACACAGGCAGAGGGAGAAGCAGGCTCCATGCACTGAGAGCCCGATGTAGGATTCGATCCCGGGTCTCCAGGATCGCGCCCTGGGCCAAAGGCAGGCGCTAAACCGCTGAGCCACCCAGGGATCCCCTTAACTCCAATTATTCTTAAAACTGATTTATCCAAATCAGTATTCAATCTAGGACTTCACATTCCCCTTAAGTTTATTTTAATCTAATACAGTCCCGTTTTTAGGACACTTACTAGTGGAACAATTGAAGTAGTTGTCCTACAGAATATCTCACCTTCTGGATTTGTCTGGTTACTTCCTCATGTTATTTAGTTCACTTGCCTAGCTATTATTTTTCTTGTGAAATAGAATTTATATCTAAAGGGCTGATGGTTTCAGGTAATTTTTTTTTATTAAAATAGTCACTATTTCTTCGTAAAGAGCTACCATGGGATCTATGTAAGATATTACTCTTCTCTCCCAAAGAATGACCATAGGAAAATATGTTGAAAGAATATATATGTATCGGGAGAAAAATGATTCTAGGAAATAGAATAAAGTCCTTTACAAGAATCTTCTCTGCACTCAAGGGACCTTCGAGTTCCCATGAAGCAAGCAAGCAAACAAACATAATCAGACACCAGAATAAAATGAAAAGGAGACCTGATGACGTAAGGGGAGGGGGGAAGAAGAAAAACCCACTCAGTATCTGACAGTCACATTAGAAACCACAAGGAATGGAGGTAACATGGTAGCAAATGGAGTCAATGTCATAGTTAGCAGGTCAGAGACTATCACATGGAACACGATAAAGAAGAGCAAGAGATGAGGAGACTAGAAAGAAAATGACATGGGAGACATTTATATTGACCCAACATACAGCTAGAGTCCCTAATCAAGAGGGAACAAATGGAATTGAAAAAGTCATCAAACACATGAAAGAAAAAGCCATTTCTGAAACAAAAGACCCAATTAGGCAAACAATGGGATTTACTTTATTCCAGGTAAACTAAGTAAAGAAACCATTGAGACAAGAATAGCTCTTGTCAAGTTCCTTAATCTTAGGCCTAACAAAAGCATCCTACTACAAATGTCTGGATAGAAGAAGCAGAGAATCTGCCAAGGGGAATAAAATGAGACTAGTTTCAGACTTCAGCAACTTTAGATGCTATGAGACAATGGAACAATGTAAAAGAATGTTGGAGAAAAAGGCTGTGACCCATAATTCCATAGATGGGATTTACATCGAATGACATTCATTCAACTGTAAAGGAAGCAAAAATAATCTTCAAATACTAAGCATGCTGGAATAAATAAATTTATAGGCTGGTTCTTTGAAAAAAAATTAGACCACTGGCTAACAGTTTAATTTTTTTTATAAAAGGAAGACACAGAATATACAATTTGAAATAAGAAATCACAAATAAGTACAAATAACTACAGGTTCCTGGATAAAGGAGATGTGCAACCTACAATATACTTTAGTCTAGGTATGTTCAAAAGACTTCAAAATATAGTGACTTAAAATAGAATGTTGGTTCTCTCTTACACAGTAGTCCAAAGATAGGCAGTCCTGAGCTGGTGGAGTACCTCTGCCATAGTCAATATGTCACTATCTGTCTCTGTGTTTCAAAGTGGCTGCTTCAGCTCCTGCCATCATATTTGCATACTGGCCAGAGAGAAGGGGAAGGGGGAAGGGGAGGGCACACTCATTCCTTTTAAGGGCATGACCTAGAAATGGCATAATCACTTTTGCTCACATCCCATTGGTCGGAATTCAGTCATACGGCCACACCCAGGCACAAGGGAAGCTGGAA